AAATGAGGTGGGGTTATAAAACATGACTTACCGTATCTATGCTACTATTCATATCTTCCTTTATAACATCTAGTGTATGAACCGGTAATGGATTGACGTGAGAACAAGTGCTCTAAATCGCTAGGATCATCCATTGATTCTGCAGCTCATTCGGAATCATTCATACTTCGCGAACGTGAGAATTTGCGATTCCAGATAATTGGCAGTAAACTATTGGACGAGGATCAGATGCACCCGCTCACTATCGTTTTCCGAAGACCGGCAAACTGGCAGAATGCGCTGTTAGCTAGAGGGCGGAATAAATCGATAAATCCTAACCTTTCTCGCTGTTTCTCCACATTCGCAAAGTACAGACAGCATCTTACGAAAAGAAGACTTACAGAAGAAAAGATAGGCTGTATTGTCAACGAATGGATTCCATATTTGTGGAAAACTTTACGAATCTTAGGAGCAGCCGAGTCGAAAGAGGCTGGTGTGCAGAACTCGATCTGAATATAGGAAAAAATTTAGGTAATTATAGAAAACTCTCCAGTCATCATCACAAGATAATTATAGCCATGAAACCCTAGTCAGGAGAAAGCAGCTAAAACGCGAAGCAGTAACAAACGGGCCTAGAAAAGAGGAAATGGATGGGACTCCTACATATTGCACAGCTCGCCCAACAGTCGCTAGATAACTCTCCAAAAGAGGAGAAGCGAAAAAAAACATGGAGAATACCCGAAGTAAGGACCTGGCAGCCTCTCTGGACGAGTTCTCCGGACCTGCTCGTTTTATGCCAGCAAAGCGATATCCTGCCACCTCTAGCTCAATAATCGTTTCTCCGCGTCATTCAATACTAATACCATCGAACAACGAAAAAAAAGGAAAATGTGGCGTAAAAACTGAGCTTGTGACAGAAAACAGCATTTGAGTTTCGGTGGGCGGGACAACTGAGGAGGCGCCAAAAATGTCACTTATGAGGGCCGCAGCGCCCTCGTCACTTACTTTGGAGCCGAAAGTGGGATCATCATGGAGACTAAGGTTCAGACTACCAGGAAGGACGCCTACGAGTTGCTCGAGCGCGGAGACTGCGCGATTGCATAATGTAGACAGTGGCGTCCATTTACAAACCCACAGTCGCTAAATGACTATTCAGGGGAGAACAAGCAGAAAGAAAAGGAATCATGGAGAATGCTTTGAGTGGGGACCTGAATTTCTCTCCGGACCTCTTGTTTTATGCCAGCAGGATCCTTTCGATCACTTATCGTTTCTTCGCGTCATACATCACTGATATCATCTAACAGCGAAAAAAAAACGAAGAACACAACTGACAGAGAATAACTTTCGAGATCTGGTGAGCGGGGCAACTAGGGAGGAGTAACTGCCGCTTATGATGGCCGTAGTGCCTTCGTCACTAATGTGAAGCCGCGAAAGTGAGTAGATGGTAGAAACCGCGGACCACACTACTTGAACGAGAGGATGCTATAAATGGTCTGACCGCCGAGAGACCTGTTTCAACTCTCGCATTAATGTCAAGAAAGTGGGAGTGAGCTAGGCAGCATCTCGGGCCGCCGGTCCATGCCCTCGAGCTCAAGCTGCTCGTTATTCGCTTTCGTATGTGTCATAAAACTGAAGTTCAAAAGCTGAGAGATGCAGGTCAAAGAAGGCATTAACATAAAACGCTCACACTAATTTACAATTAGCTGAATAACAAAACTACACATGTTAACTTACATCAGCTGTTGCCAGATGACGATTCCCGACAAGGGTCCAAGCACACATGCTTTGAACACCCGCTACTCCTCTTATCTAAAAAAAAGCCCTAGCAATCAAAGGAAAATGAAAAAATTACTGGACCACACACCCCGTTCTGAGGGTCAAGGTCACGTACACTCCAAATCCCTGAGCTTGGGTAGGCGTGGCTGCATACCTCCATTGAGCGTAGAGGAGGCCGCGCTTCTGAAGGGATCTTGCCGTTCTGGGAAATTGTTGTCCTGTTTTGTTCAGAACAGAACAGGATGACACAAATTGACTTTTCCCACGAGAAACACCTCCTACGCCATACTCAAATGCGCAGCCACACCCTATCCACCTCTAGGATATGGAGCGTACCTTGGACCACTTTCGTGTAAGACAATAAGTCACTATTACGGTACCTTGATTATATCGGCCTTGATATCATCCATGTCTATAAAAGCTGGCGGTCTGCGAAGTATTATACTAGCAGTCTCCCTCACAAGGGAATACGCAGAAAAACATATTAGCGTCACCAAAGTGAGACTGAAACACAAGCGTTTCACAAAGGATTGAAAATGATTGGTGTGGAGCGTTGCTTCCCAGTTGCGGCCTCGCACGCTAGCCCGAGTATTTTCTATCTAGTTGATTAGGGGAGACGGGCAAGAGAATCGTAATTTGCCGCTTCGCCGCGCACGGCGATGGCGCGACAGTTTCTTAACTCGTGTTAACCTGTCGATTGGAGCACCGGACTTTATACCGTATACGTAGACCCCGTTATCGTAGACATTCATGACTATTTTAAGTTCTGAATTGCTTGTTGTCGCCATCCTCTACCTGGAACCATCGTCATTTGCGAGCGCGACGTCGCACGCGACGCCCACCAACGCGGTGAATTACGATTCTCTTGCCACATACCCGTTGATTAGGCAGCGTTCAGACTTCGCGACGGCAGCGCTTCGGTCGCGCGTTGACGCGATCGATGCAGTCGAAAGCATGCGCATCGATCGCGTCGAACGCGCGACCGAGGCGCTGCCGTCGCGAAGTCTGAACGCTGCCTTAGACAGACACACACCGAACAGGAGGCGGTCGTTCGACGCGATCGCTTTGCCATAGACGAGTCATGACAAGTTATGTGACAAGTTCTTCAAATTGTGAAACTCGTCCGGAGCCGCGGACGGCTGGATGCGTGATTGATTGCGTACATGTAGCATTTAACGTTCGGTGCTCCTATTCTCAGGGTCTGATTAGCTGAGAAGATCCAATTATTTGGCGACTTGGACGGGTTCTTCTGTCTGTATGACACATCACATGGCATCTCTTGACGAGTCAGTAGCACCGGGATCACGCCAAACGACATCCCCACAGAGAACTAGCCGACTTAAAGGCACATTCCGCGAAAAAATAAGGCTATGACCTCTCAAATGTGTCGGACGATCCGGAAGGCGATTTTTGAGGCTGCGCTACTTTCAAAATGTGAAAACGGCAAGAACTCCGCTAGAAGCTGACTAAATTTTAGGGCCCATGGACCCCTTAGGCCCATGCCGACCCTCACCGGCTGCTAGCTACTAGCTAGTAGCCACTATGTTATCTTTCTCTATAACATTTCGGACTGCTTTTTCTGCTGCTTTTCTCCGCTAATCAGATACTTAGCACTTTTTTGTGCCTATTTGAGTTCCGTTTCCCGCAATTTGCGGTCGAACTGTGCCTTTAAGGAAGCAGAGGTTGAGGTAGACGTCGGCGCGCCGACGTTAGGTTGAATCGTGTCCTTGCGTATTTGCCGCACTCACCGCAACTGGGATGTGGCGCTCCACACCCAAGAATGACTCCTGAATACATCGTGGAGAGAAGGTTACAACTTTCTCACAGATGCCCAAGGCCGTGTTCACACTTCACGACTCGGGCCGACTGAATACCGTGCAACTTGGGAACCTTGCCGCTGTGGCCAACCGCCCTCCACCGCTAATGGTTGCACCAAAAATGGTTCCACCCGGTGAATAAATCAGCAGTCGTAACCGTCCAATGAACAGCACTGGAGCGCGCTTGGGCAAAGTCGCGCGATTTCATTGAATCGCTTGTGTCTTGAACGATGAACACATCCTAAGAGTGGGTTGGAAACTCGTTAAGTCCGAATCACCAAGCAAAATAAAAATAAAAATTATCCTCCCTGAAGGGCTTTTGAAACGTCAGTAGCATTCATAGCCAAAGCGACCATACCTCAGAGCAGGATCCAAATAATCGTTGAGAGCTCCAAGAGAGTTTGGGAAAAATAATGCAAGAGACGCCGTTATAATGACGAAAACTGATCCAATAGCATCGGATAGTATGTGAAGAAACACACCTCGCATATTCAGGTTTTGAGCATCTGAAATTCAAAATTTTCTCCAATTATTCTATTTTTTTCCTATAAAGGAAAGGTTAGATAAACTCACTGGCTAGCTTCTGCTTGCGTCTCGCTGCTTCACTATCGGTGAATTCTTCAATTTCTGCGTTTTCATCGAGATTGACCAATTTCAACGCAAGATGCTGGAAATCAAAATTATAATTCCCAAACAAAAACTAAGTAACAGGCGAGCAATAGAATAGAGCGAAAGCAGAACTGAGCAACATGCATTATGTCAGTGCTAGTGCCATCGAAATAGCTCCATAAACCGATGCCGTGAAAAAATATTTGAATGAAAGAAACATGCACAGCACACCACCCCACTGCAAAAAACTTGCATGCGCCTGCTTACTTGTTTGGATCCGCTTCCGACAAGAAGTGAGAGCTAAAAAGGTAATACTCTTAGAAAGACAGAACTAATAGAATAAAGACAAACCATGCAGCAGGGCATTCAGAAGAGCTTAAACAGGAGCCGAATCAGTTAATCATTGCGGTTTTGAGAAACAAGTCGAGCAGAAGTCAAAAAGGCGATGCACCCTAGCGTTTGTCCAGTCACCACATTATTATCTTTTCGCTACATACGCTAAAGCGTGTTGGGGTGAGGAGGGGGGGGGGAGGGCATGGCCTGAAGCGGCGCCAGCACGCTTTCCACCAATTGTTGTTGCTTCAAACATTGGTGGAGAACGGGCTTGCGCCAAAAGCAGCCCTCGGACACTCCCCAGCGTCTGCAGCGAAAACGACTGCACCTCATCTAGGCCCCTAGAGGCTCCCAGTAGAAGAATAACAAAAAACGTCATAACTCACATTGTGTGAGCAATCCTGACCAATACGACTGCGAGAACGACCCGGTCTGTTCACGAAGGCTGGATCGGAATCTGAGTCAAATTCATCTTCGTCTGCATCCTTCGTCTCTTCCTCGTTCTTCTTGACAATAGAAACGCTTTCTTCCTTGTTCTTTGATGGTTTCTGTAGATAAAAGCCTATCTATCCATTTCTTATGGTTAATACAAAACCTTCGTAGAGTTATCAGCTGTCATCGCTCACCTCTCCATGACTGTGCCCATGCCCTCCTCCACCATGCGAATGCCCGTGACCTCCGTGAAACATTCCGATGCCAATCATATTGATAAAAAGGCCGATACATCCCACTATCAACACCTAAATATTCAAGGACCAATCAGAGTGTCGCCAAGAACTATTATTACTTCGTTACAGCTCTGACATGTACCTATATTTCCCGAGATTTCCCCCGTAAAACGTTTATGGAAGCAGGGCTCAGCATCCCTTGTGTGAAACAACTAGGTCGTGTTTCCTTCTGGTGAAGAGGAGATCATTCTTACCCGCGGAAATTTTTAAATGATCCCTCCCCTTTATTGAAGGCACCCAGCAAAACTGCTCTAATAGTTGATAGGAGGTGTCTACCACGTTATCTGAGCGTACAAAACGAAAAGAATAGGATTTTAAACTAGAACAACCATAGAATCCTGCACCCTTACTAGAACCACGCATGCTGAAAAAGCAAAAAATAATCCACGTAAATTGCATACCTGAAGTGGATGGGTTATGCGTCGTGAATGAATCAGTCGTCCAATTGATTCCAACGATATCGCAAAACACATCGCTAACAGAAACACACCGTTCACGAGGGCTCCCAAAACTTCAGCCCGTACCCATCCAAAACCGTTCCTTTTAGATTTACGCCTCGATATCTGAGATAGATGAGATTGGCTTCCGAATTTGCGAGCTTCCCTGACTTGCGTTGATCAACACAAATTACTCTTTTTATTATTCCCACAGTTTTAGTACCAATTTACTCCGCGGGTGGGAGGTTGGCCCGCGCGAGAGGTAGATTTGAGATTTCGCCTTCTAGCGCGTAGAACAGGGCACATCGTTGTTGGGGAACCCCCAATAGGAGGGGTCGTAGGCGCAGTTTGTCGACGGGGGGAGGGGGCATTTTGCTTTCCATAGATGTGTCAACCCATCTAGGAAGCAATGATAATACAAAATGCCCCCCCCCGTCGGCAAACAGCGCCGGGTCGTATTTGGCCGCCAGGAGAGGGGGGGTCGTATTTGGGCTGGGAAAAATTTATTTTGATAGTTGATTTTTCTCGCTTCACGGACGTTGTAAAGGGGAGGGGGGGGGGTCGTACTTGGTCATTGTTGGGAGGGGGGTCGTATTTACGTTTTGGCGTTGTAGGAGCGGTGGTTGACTTTTTGTGTGTATTTGTGATGTTCCTGTTTCGCGCGCACTACATACCTCCCTCCCCCTCCCTCCCGCTCGACGGCTCAGTTCGATGAGGGACGAGGGCCGGAGGGGGGGGGGTCGTAGCAACCATTTGCTCCCTTCCTTTCAACTCGCTTTTGACAGAAACAGTGCATTCGCGCCGTCATTCACGAGAAAACAGGTTCTGTTTGGCTTAGGGGTGGGGGACATTTGGTACTTTCGCTAGTTGTTTCTCTTGCTGGTTCCTCCTGAATCACAGGTGTCACTTAGAGATCGATGGGAACCAGCAAAATGCCTCACCAGGGCGAACTGCGCCAAAAACCAAGCCAAAAAACGTTAGTCCTCCCCTCCCCATCCCGAGCAATCTTAATTCTCAAGAAAACGCAACACTGACGTTCACGCACACAATGCGTCACATTTGCAAATAAATGGCCTTATAATGCAAATAAAATGAAAGCTGCGAATCGTGAGCAATGGTGAGCAAATTGTGGCGCATGCAGCGTCTACTATGCTCACACCTAGAAAAATTCCTATGAAAAATACTTCATTTTGGAAAAAAACATCGTTCCTTGGGCCTGTGTCCAGTCATGATCGCCCTGAAGAAATACTGCAAAAGTATGCACCACTATTCGGGAGCTTTCATTCTTGTTAGGTGATAACTCGTGGTTCGGTGAAACCTCTTCGACTATATCGAACTTAAAGACACATTTTGCGATGGTGAGTCGCAGGTAACAGGGTACAACTCCGAATGACTTCACATAAGAGGCGAAAGCATAGTTAACACTTCGAAGTATGTTTCCCCTTTTTTTCATTCCTGTGTGGTACGAGCGAGCTCTCCTGTATTCCCCGCAAGTGGCACTATAGGAGAGAAAAGATCATTTTGAAGAGGGCGTCAAGAAGCAATGAGCAGCGAACATTTGAACGTTCATTCAGGGGTTGCAAGTTGTAAATACTGCGGTTCAAAACGAAGGTGTATGTACAGGGGGCAAAAAAAAGTCATTTCGACCGAGCAAAGTTTTCGCAGCCCAGACAGAGGACGTGGATACGAGTACCAGGGCGGAAGATACCCAAGATGTTCCTCTATAAGCAGGAGCTGGCGCTCGAAATATGAAGTCATCTCCAGTCGCAGCCTGACTGGAGAAGACCTTTGGAATTCATGTCACCTCCAAACAGCTGCGAAACTTCTAGTATGGAGTCACCCATGGATAGCTACCTGGAGACCAGTACTCTTGATCTGCAAGACCCCAAACATCGAGCAGCTCCGGACAACGTCGCTACGGTCCAGGACATCATCTTCACCATTCACCAAGGCGCGGGTTGATGGTATGGACCGGACGTACCTGGAATGGAAAGACCAATATTTTCTTCGTGGACCCCGGACTGAAGGTGAGCGCTGGCGGTTACATTGAGCAACTCGTGAAGAATACCACATGTCGTCGCCCGTACCTTCTCACATGTCGTCGCCCGTACCTTCTTGGAAACTTGTACTGCTACAGCATTGGGTGCCACCACATGGAATCGAAGGGCATTGGAGAAACTCTCGCCTACTTGGAATGGAAGGGGGCTGAATACCTAAAGAAGGTGGAATATCCAAGTAGGTCACCTGACCTGAACCCCTCAATTACCCGGTTCGGGCGGAGTTCAATAGGGTGGTCTACGGTGGCGGAGAAATCGACTATCTCGCTGATCTCAGGCACCACATCGCGGTCGCGTGCCAGAATCTCTCGATGGCGCTCCTCCAGAAGGCTGTGGCGGAGTATCGTATTATTTAATGTGCTCTTTAATATGGTAGTAGAAATGTCCGATAAGAATTTAATAAAGTGTTATAGCGCCTCGAAAGTCAAGGAAGAAAAAAGTTTTTTGCCCCCCCCCCCTCTGTATATGTTAATTGACAAACAAGTGAGTGGAGAAATGGACGGTAATGATGTTCGAAGAAAAGTCATTAACATATTATGTGACGTAAATAGCACATCATCTATGTAAGGCTGCATTCGCAACTTGCAGCAGAGTCGGAGAACTGAAGAGTCGAAGTTTCGCGAAAAGTCTACAGTATCGTTGGGAGAATACTATCAGGGAGGTGGTACCTTCTTGTTGTTGTTGGGAAGGGGGGGGGGGGGCGTACATGGTCGGACTGGAGAGGTTGTATTAGGCTTTCAGAGAAGATTTTTCAAAGAAAAATTGGAAATTTTTTGGAAAACTGGAAAGATGGAAGGAAGTTGGGAAAACATGGCTAGATGAAAGTTATGATGGGAGGGTTCATATTCGCAGGAGTAGGATTAAATCACAGGAGGATATATCACAATAACAGAGGAAGAAATTTGGGGAGACTCGCCTTAGACCGCCATTTCTCCCATCACGTTGCAGTTTTCTGGTCGCGGGACCAGGAGAATCGACGAGCCTGATAAAGCGCCAAAATCACTAGATATGCATCTATTGATCTAATTGTTTTCCAATTCGCCAGATCTCCAGTCGTATTTTCTTTCCGCAGGCGCGATTCGATTAAGAGGTCTAATAACTTTGTGAATGCCTTCAAATGGGAGCCGGGGGGGGGGGGGTTTGCCCCGGTGGCACGCAGAATGATAAGTAGCGTTCGCCTTGTCGCGATCCCCGAACTCCGCGATTCTCATCCTCTAGTGTTGCAAAGTATGCCCACGTTCATGCCTTGCGAAAGTGAAGAATCGACGCATTCATGACTTGTTTAATTGGGAGAAGCAAGGAATCTGTGAAGAGAAATGTATACGCATCGATGTTAGTAACTGCAGAACCGATGAATAGTGGAATAGGGAATCTAGGAATGCGTGCAGAAGAGAAGATGCGCATCGATCTGGTGAGCTGAAGAATCGTGGAATTGGGAGAACTGACGAACGTGGCGAACATGTATTCGAGTACGTAAGGTACCACCCGGTCCCCCCCCCGGACCCGCCCAAAAAATCGCAGCGAACAAGACTGTACATTTGCTTGTGACCTCCCAGATTCTCCCATCTCGCTGATCCTTCAAATTCCACGACTTCCAATGTCGCACGATATTAAAACCGCATTCATGCCATGCGACTAAGCGAGATTCGGCTATATTGGAGATACAGCGATTCACCAGACCTCGCGACGAGGAAAATTTAGATCCGGCAATCGCGGGGATGATGGCGCGATTCGTGGAATTTGGGAGAATTTTCTCTCGTTTTATCATTTCTCACTCTTCACCTATGTAGTCGCATGTCTCATGTCGTCAACGCTGTGTCGGTATGCATTGACGAACCCTGGGGGCTGGCAAGACAACGATGCTTCGTCTGCGATAACGGGCGAAACGGATCATCTATCCTTTGGAGTGTATTCTTTTTATAATATTTTGTTTTTCCTTTGCTTCTAATTGGCCGTTTCTGCGCGCCGTCAGGAAGGAGTCAGTGGGCGGAGATCAAGGCGCAACCAATATGGGCATGGCTATCGGAACGGCGGCACAGTAGCTAGCGACGGCGGAAATTCGGTGATCCGGAGGTTTGCAAATCACCATATCGCTCAATCTCCGTTGTCGCCACATCAAATTTGGCGACAACGGAGATTGAGCAATACCTGTACTGCCCTAGTTGCGCAATGTACCAAATCGCCGTTCCTCTCGAATCGCCGGAGCTCCTCTACAACAGAGTATGAACTCGGCTTGACAAGTGACGGGTGCAGTTTGAGACGGAGGGGGGCATTTTGCACTACTTCCCTTCGACGTGTCGAGGCAGCCTCTTCTCGAGTTGACAGGTTTTACCATGATGGCTAGATGAGCTTGCTCCAGCTTCACAAGAGTTCACAGGTTTCGCCAGAGTGAGACTTGTAAACCGGAACTAGGGAAGCAATGATAGTACAAAATGCCCCCGTCCTCAAACTGCGCCCAAATAACGTTCTGCACTGCGTATCTGTGCAATATGAGCGCCTGTAGCTAGTGAAGAAAACGCACGGAGAACTCACCCTCAGGCAGACGAATGCAATCACCAAAGCCATGACGTCAGAGAGCATATGATACGAATCGGCTAGTAAAGCGATTGAACGATTCATAAAACCGACGACCAATTCAACGAAGAAGAACAGAAACGTGATGGTTATCATCACCAGGACTTTCTTCGAATTCTGGCTGGAATAAAGCCTTTGTACTTAACACTCTGAAAGTAAAAATACTCAGAACAAACGAATCTCGTACTTAAATGCGTCCTTCCCCTTCGAGTCAGCTTCCGAACCACATTCCGAATGCGTATCGATCTGAGACATTAATCGCTTCTCGACGGCTTCATCACAGTGCAATTTACAAGCTGATTCCGGTAATAGTGATGAATCATTGGTAGATTGCTGAAGTAACGTATCCTAGGGTTTAATGGAAACAAAAGAAAACTCAAGAGACAAGAGAACCCACATCTGTGCCCTCCATTCAGGAATGTGGGATGGAGCAGCAGTGCCGCAAAGGCCAGGTGATAAAATTCAAGGCGAAGAGAAGCCGCAGAAAAGTCCCACCCCTAGCACTCGTCCGCTGTGGACGAGTTGGGCAGCGCGACCCAA